CTAGCGCCTATGATGCCTTCTTGATTCTGCATGTCGTGGGTGCAATGGGCGGCCTCTATTTCCTCATACTGGATGTATGATTGGGCCTCTAGGAGAAGAGCGTTCAAGTTGCAGGGTCGTTCAATCCCGACAGCATTGGTGAAGTCGATGCGAGGTCGCAGTCCTCGCTCGATCCTAAATTTTTTCATGTCGTCCGAGGTGGACACCTGGACAGCTTCTCGGTTGAACCTCTCTATGCAATCCCGAAGAGGTTCATTTTTTTCCTGGATGATGACTTCCAGGGCTGCCTCTATCTTCGGATGGCGCTGGGAAGCTGTGAAGTGCCTGGAGAACTGCCTCTTCAATTCTCCCCAGAAGGTGATGGACTCGGGCGTGAGGTGCTTGTAGCACGTCATAGCGCCTTTCCTTAGAGTAGTGGGGAAAACGTGCACTTGATGGCTCCTTGGACGCTTTGATAGTCAAGCATCACATCGATGCTTTCGATACGGTCGTTCGGGTCGATCGTACCACCATAAGTCGCCAGGGGTGAAGGTTTTTCCAGCCCGACGGGCAATGGAGTCTCTCTGGTGTCCATGGACAGCGGTGAACATTGGTCATCCTCGTCGCTCCTGAAAGGTGATCGAGAAGGGGAGGCAGATCCCCACCTGTTTCTGTTTCATCGAGGAGGGCTCCTCGATCAGCTCTTTGGTTTCTCGACGCCTCCTTCAGCTTTGTTCCTCTTCTGAGTGGGGGAGCGTCGCTCCTTCTGGGGAGGTGATCAGTCGTGCTTTTGGGAGGTCATTGGCTAAGGCCGCTCCAAACGAGGGTTGAAGGCCGCATCTTTCGAGGAGGGAGAGGCAGTGCGCCCATCCCTAAAGTCGCCCTCTTCGACTTGAACAGTCACATTGGGGTCGTGGCTGTCACCATTGGTGAATGAAAAGAAGGTGTTTTCTGGAGCGTTATCATTGGATGGGCTGGCCATGATCAAACGGAAGTTGAATGTTGTATTGGTTCTTGAGCTTCTATGCTTGTATAGGAGAAAGAACGGGGGGAGCAAATGATTCCCACAGACTGCGCCACTGATCTTACTTGATCAGAAAGGGATCAGTTGCCTGCCACGCGTCACGAGCTCTTGTGTTCACTAGCGTTGAAGAGGAGGAAGGGGTGCACCTGCAAGGTACTCCGATGCTTAAGTGAGTAACGGAGTTAGAGAGAGCAAGTACAGAAAAAATAGGCGTAGAGTTAGAATACCTGACCCTCTAGTGAAAGAGGGTATTTATAATGTGCCCCCAATGCAGGGCCAACGGTTACTTTGCATTGAACCGGATTGCAAGGTCCAATACGAGTAATTGTCAGGGCTTACGTGGCGTAGGGAAGATCAGCACGTGGTCTTCACCCTGGATCAACTATCCTATGATCTTCAGAAGGTGGGCTGACCAGTTCTTTCGGAAGTGGATAGTTGTCTGATGAGGTGTCTCTGCGTAGAGAACACGTGGAGAACGTGGGGAAGACGCGTTAACTCTCCTAGTGCTAGGTAGTGATCTGTCCGACAGCAATATTAAGCGTGCTCGACTGTGGAGCAAGTCTCGACCCAATCCAGAATAAAAGTCATATTTAAATTTTAAAATTATATTGATAATCAGGGAGATTTTTTCCACATTAACCAAATATCTTGGATTTTAATTTAATTCAAATTACGCAATGTTAAATTTATTGAGGGAGACTTTTCTTTTTATTGTGATTCTTACTTTAAAATTTAATAATTTGTTCAACTATTATATATTTTTTTTGGTTATGTAGTCTAATGATTTATATTTATTATTATATATACATGTAGACAGACAGAAATTAATTATTCAATTTACTTCTATAAAAACATGTACCGGGGTGTCATCATTTCTCTATAAATAAAATTATAACTATTCTTTTTGTTGAGGAAACAGTTATAACTAATTAAAAACACAATAAAACTACCATTTATATACATATATTATAAAATCAACCATTTTGGAGAGATTCATAGCCATGTTTGTGTAATTGCAAGGTGTATTATACAAGTGAAACTATTACTATTTTATGTATTAACTAGGCAAATATTCATGCTCTCAAAAGGATTTGTGAATGATATTGATATTGACATTATATTAAGTTTGAATAATCTATGAAATGGTTAGTATATTTAATTAAGAGTAATGTGTCACATATTATTCTAATATTTTAAAGATATTAAAAATTACTATTTATAACTAATTTGTTAGTCTTAAAAAAATTAATTCTTTAGTTATAAACTTATTTTTGTCGCATATGTATTTATTATAATAAATATATTATAATTATTTTTTGTTTTTAATTAGAATATATATAAAAAAGTTAATTAATTGATTCTGGAAAAACAAAATATTTATCCTATATATGAGTTATTACTCCAACTACGTCTTTAATAACTCATTTTCAAATAAAAGAGTGTTACAAATTTTAAATATGAAAAAGAAAACTATAGTATTGCTATCCTCTTTGTTTGTGGTAGATATTATTATTATTATTATGTTAAATATGAACAAAATATAAAATATTTGATTCAGAGTAACTTTTTTTCAAAAACAGAAAGGGTCGAAGTCCGAAAAATGAAAATTTAACAAAAAAATAGTCATGGTGTGATAGTCTCCAATAAATCATCCATAAACAAATAACTAATGTGAGATAGACATTGCTCATAATAAATAAAATTGGGACTATGATTATAACTTCGAGAGCATCCACAAAAACATTTGCTTCCCAATACAAATGACATTTTTTTATTTTCCTCTCCAATAGTCAAAAGTTGTCTAATATGTTAAGAATATCTCTCCAAAGACCACCCATATGCATTAGATATAAGAGCTAAGTTGACTAGACAAAGATCTCTTACCCCTAAGTTAACTTTACACATAGGCTTACACACATCGACCCAAATAATCCAAGAGATTTTAGATTCTCCCTTAAAATCTTTCCACAAAAATATTATGTAAATATAAACAATTTTCCTCCAAATCTTTACATGCATTTTGAGAAAAGGCACGATAAAAATAGGGATAACATTAAATCAAGAACTAACAAAACCAACCACCTCCAACCTAACATACTTGTGCTTCCAAGAGTTAAGCCTCTTAGATAACACATATTAACAATGAGGTCCCAAGTAACTTCAGAATTAGGGATATTCCAAACAGGAAGCCCTAAGTATTTAAAAGGAATTACTTCTATTCTATTTTATAATAAAGAAAGTCACTAACGAAATTTAAAAAAAAAAAAAATTTCATATTAACCCCTATCATGATACTCTTAAAAAATCACCCAGAGAACAGAAACACGTTCAAACTCTAAGAATAGCCTTTATAATCCAATGATTTTCAACAGAAGGATCCGTTAAAATAAAAGTACCATGTGAATATTAAAGGTGAGAGATCAATAAATCTAATGCTCATATCCTAAAACCTCTAAGAAGGCCAAACTTAACGAGCCTAGTAATCAAACCACTTAACTATTTGATTATAATCAGAAGAAAAAAAAGAGCAAGAGGTTTACCTTACTTCATACCCCTCTATATTCTAATCTCTTGAATTGAAAAACCATTATCAACACTGCAACATTCCTAATGAAAACAAAGTTACTAATATAAAACCTATACTTATCATTAAATCTAAGTTTAACTAGCATAGACTCTCGAAACTTCCAACTCATAGATTCATAAGATTTCTCAAAATCCACTTTAAAAATGAGACAAATTTTTCTTGCAGTTTTAGCAAGGTTAATAATTTTATTCACTACCACTGCATCATCCACCAACGATCTGCCTTTTAAAAAAGTAGTTTGATTAAGGGAAACAAGTTTTTTCATGACATCCCTTAGTCTAACCGCTTACACTTTAGCTACTAACTTGTATAAATACCAACCAAAATATACGCCTAAAATTTCTTAACTCAATAGGAAATGTAATCTTAGGAATTAAGGTGACAAAGTAAGAGACAAATGAACGAGGTAAAAAGACATTTCGATGAAATTGATCAAACATAACTCTAACATATTCCCTAAACAAATCCTAAAACTTTATTAAAAAAGAGAAAGAAAAATAATCAATGACATTACTCTTGTTACCCTCACACAAGGCAACAACATCATCTAACTCCTAATGAGTGAAAGAAGTAATCAATGTTAGGTTATCCTCAACACACACAAAAAACAAATAAACACACACACAGAAAGAGAGAGAGAGTTCCAACCAAGCGAGGCCTGTAAAAATTTTGCTCGTTGGAGATCTCTGAAAAATAATTAAACTATTCTTACCTATCTTAGTCACCTCTTCCAACCAACATTCAAGGCTAAAATAATATTCCTTCTACTCATACTCTTGAGTGAAGCATAAAATAAAATAAAAAACCAGAACCACTTTCTTTAAGCCACTTTAAATTGGATCTTTGAACAATTAAGAATCTTTAACCTTTAACAAAGATTAAAGTTTTATAATGTTCCTAGAACGAGCCTGAATCTCCTCGTCAAATCTTTGATCAATCACAACATCAAACTTAAAGAATTAGTTTTAAACTCTAACTTAACAACATGCTTATTCCTTCCAACCATTTAGCATCAATTTAAGGGCTTTGAACTTGTTCAATAAATATCAAAAGCCTCCCAACCTTGAACTAAAAAACTAACCAACAAGAAGGAAACATTAGTTAATAACTTTAAATAATATATTTTAATGAGAATTTATACATATGCAATCCTCATAGAGAATTGATAGGTTCAATTTTTATTATATAATTTCTTTATTTCAAAATATTAAAGATAATTAAGGAAAATTGTTAGCTAAATTTTAAGTATATAAAATTGTAAATAAGAATAGCATAAATCACAAAAGTATTATGCTCAATCAAATTCAAAATATAAAATACAATAAAATGTTTTAGAAGTCATCACAACTAACTAAACAGAACTAACGCAAGACAAAAGCAACAAGGTTTGAATGCCCATAAACTAACACTCTAAAAAACAAAGCTGGCTAAGACTAAAGCCACAGTAACAATGACACCATGAGAAACACTTAAATTTGTGGAACCACTCGATAGAGGAGATGGTGCTGGAGCATTCCTTAAAGGGGCACTTGGTGTCGGAGCAATCCAACCCGGGCTTGGTGCAGGAGCAGTCCATCCGGGTGCGGGTGCCGTCCAACTGGGTGATGGAGCATTCAATCCTGGTGCACTCGGTGATGGAGCCTTATAACCAGGTGCAGGAGCCTTCCATGCTGGTGCAGGTGCCGTCCAACTGGGTGATGGAGCCTTATAACCGGGTGCACTCGGTGATGGAGCCTTATAACCGGGTGCGGGAGCAGTCCAACCTGGTGCAGGAGCTTTACTTGCTGGTGCGGGTGCTGTCCAGCTCGGTGACGGAGCCTTCCATCCGGGCGCACTAGGTGATGGAGCCTTATAACCAGGTGCGGGAGCAGTCCAACTGGGTGACGGAGCCTTCCATCCGGGCGCACTTGGTGCAGGAGCCTTATAACCGGGTGAGGGAGCTTTCCATGCTGGCGCAGGTGATGGCACCTTCCAACCAGGTGCACTTGGTGATGGAGCCTTATAACCAGGTGCAGGAACAGTCCAACCTGGTGCAGGTGATGGCACCTTCCAACCGGGTGCACTTGGTAATGGAGCCTTATAACCTGGTGCCGGAGCTTTCCATCCAGGTGCTGGAGCTTTCGGCGACGGTGCAGGCGAGTGTACTGGCGCAACCCATGGTGATATTGCCGAACCATGATCCTTGTAACCGTAAACAGCAACAGTCAACTTTTCACCTTTTCTACAATTCTCAACATTTCCACTAATGAAGTAAAAGGAACCAGATTTATCCAAATTAACAATCGATTCTCCACCTTCTAACTTCTTAATCGGATTCTTAGCGTTACACAAATCATAGTCTTTTTCATTTACCACCAACACTGAATCATATGCCTTATCATATTTAAAATCTGCACCACAAAACAAAAACAAAACATCAACACTTCTCATCACAATCAGACAAACATTTATATTAAATTCAAACATTAAAAAAATTACTTACAAAGTGTGTCGTTGATTTGAAACCTTAATGAATGAGCCCACTTAGCATACCCTGCAGATGGTTTCACAGCCCAACCATCTTTTCCACCAACGTTAAATTTGTAACCAGAACACAATGAAGAGACAAGAAACAACATTGTCATGAACAAGAAAAAACCAGACCTCATTTTCGCCATTGATAAGTTTCACAAAGTAATTGAAATCTGAAAAAAAATGAGAGGTAGTAGGGTTTATTTATATTGAAATATTGAAATATGAATATCAAAACTATACGCTGGTCTCCAAATAATGCTATTAATTAATTTCCAGCTGGTGTTTTAATATTTCCTTTATTATATGGTCTTTTTATGTTAAGTCGCAATAAAAATTTTCATATGAACCAATTTTTATAAGCACATTCAATAAAATAACGTAATGCAGATATTATGACAGGATTTTATTTGAGGTATATATGTAAAGAAAAAATATTACACAGTAAATAGTATAATAATAAGGAATCTTCAACATAATTGTTATTTAAAATACTTAAAAGTATTAAAAAGTTCAATAAAATTGTTAATACTCATAACTTTTTTTTAAAAGGAAAAGCTGATATTAATTATTGATGTATTAACGATTACTGTATATATAAATTCAAATAAATATAAATATAATATTTTAAAGTATCATAATATTTTCTTTCTCTTAAAATAATGAACCAAATTAATTTATTTTTGACATAAATAATGAGATACAATTTATTTTTATAAATGAATCATTTTTTTAAAGAGGAAAAATTATTCATTAATAGATATAATTAACAAAATTAAAAAATATGAAAAGAAAGAATAACTTCTTTTTTTTTTGTAAAAAAAAATATTTATTTCTTTTGAATATTTTTTAAGTGCCATTCATTGTAAACGAAGAAAGTACTTGTATCTCATGTAAATATGAACCAAACACATGTATTTTCTTTTGTTTAATAATACACACTACATCTATTTCAAATTATAATATTTTTTTGGAAAAACGATTTATTTTTAATTTAATTTATTTGGCAAGAATCAATATATTCTCTATCCCGCAATAAATTACACATTTAAAAATATATATATATTTAAAATAGACATTATTTTTCTGTTAAATTAAGAGAATTTCTTAAGGCGTCTTATATATTTCTTAGACAGCATGTAAATTTTCTATAATGCACCTAGTTTTTAGAGATATATCTTCGGACACATCTTTTTTACATTCAAAGAAGGTCATTCAAGATGGCGCCTCATACAATTGCTAAAGATTTATTTCAGAGATATATTTTTGAAACCATTTTGAAAAAATATGAATATTAGTCAGTTCAGTGAAAGTTTCGGAGATATATCTTCGAAAGATTTGAGTGGCAATTTGAATTTTTCTATCACCTTTGCATGTCGGATTGTTCTGGAGATATATCTCCGAAAGTATTTAATATATTGATCAGTCCTCATTGTTGTCATACTTCCATTTCAACTTAAACCTTCACCCCTAAAAACACTACATTCTCAATCCCATTTTTCACTCCAAATCTCCATCCTTTTAGTTCAACATATCACATGGAGCAAAAGAAGATCGAATTTCAAGTAAAGATTGTTCATTTCCATCTACGTTGCTTAGAATAATCATGAAACTTTGCTGAAAAAACTTACGCATTGTCCGGAGATGTATCTCCGAAACGTGCTGAACATGAACTTTTCCGGAGATATATTTCTGGAATGTTTTTGTGTTCATTTTTCATCCTTTTCTGCAACATTAGATTAATTATTTTTATTATTTTTATTGTTTCCAATAGATATGGTGCACCCCGATAATATCTCAAAACAAGTAGTTTCTTCGAATGTTGAAGGGGTTGTTGTTAAGGCGGTAGATGTTCCCAATGAATTTAATAATAAGCAAGAGTTTGAAATTTGTGATAACATGCTCGAGTGGATTCTTATGGTGGCATCTAGATTTGGATTTGGTGTGGTTACCGAAAGTTCGAATAATGGCTCGGATAGAAAAAGTGTCTTTATGACTATGTTATGCGAAAGAAGCGGGAAATATCGAACTCCTCTCCGAAATTTTAAGAGAGAAGACACGGGTAGTAGAAAATGTGTTAAGCTTTGTGGTTACGTGTTGGCTAGCAAAAAATGATTTAATGTCATTTGTAGTGTGCATAACCATGAATTATGCTTAAAATTAGTCGGACACCCTAGTGTATGTCGGCTCAAGTCGGGAGAGAAGGTATGTATTAGTGACATGACCTTGAATCTTGTCCAACCAAAAAATATACTTGCAACATTGAAACGAAAGCAAACCGACAATATATCAAACATCAAGCAAGTGTATAACATTCAGTACGTCACTAACAAGGCGATTAGGGGAGATAGAATTGAGATGCTACAACTGTTGAAACTGTTGGATGATAACAATTATGTATCCCGGTACCGAACTTGCAATGATGGAGTTATGGTTAGAGATATTTTTTAGACTCATCCAGATTCGATAAAGTTGTTCAATACGTTTCCGACAGTACTCATATTTGATTATACCTACAAGATCAACAAGTATAGACTTACATTATTTGAGATGGTTGATGTTACCTCGATTGAGAAGACATACTCCGTTGGTTTTGCATTTTTATAGTGTGAAAAAAAGGACAATTTTACTTGGGCATTAGAGGTGTGTCAGTCACTTTTGAAGGATCAAGGTGAGATGCCTAAAGCTATTGTTACGGACCACGATACCGCATTAATGAATGCAGTTGCAAAGGTATTTCCTTCTTCTTATGCATTACTTTGTAAGTGTTATGGACTGGACCGAGATCTACCCCTCAGTCGGGTAGGCCCAACCCAATACTATTTTGGGGAGGCCCAACAAGGCCCGATCCTCCTTTGTCGGGCACACATCTCAACAAAGCCCCTCAATTCGACAGACCGTTACCAAGCACGGGGAGAGCTCACGCGTCTTCCCCATGTTCTCCATGCTTCCCTCACGCGGGGACACGTCATTAGGAAACTATCCACTTTCGAAAGAGTTGGTCAGCCCACCTTCTGAAGATCATGGGGTAGTTGATCCAGGGCAAAGACCATGTGTTGGTCTTCTCTATGCCACGTAAGCCCTGGCAGTTACTTGTATTGGGCTTGGCAATCTGGCCCAATGTAATGTAACCATTGGCCCTGCGCTGGGGGCATATTATAAATACCCTTTTTCACTAGATGGTCAGGTATCTATTCTCCACACTTATTCTTTCTGTACTTGCGCTTTCTAACTCCGTTACTCACTTAAGCATCAGAGTACCTTGCAGGTACACCCCCTCCTCCTCTACAACACTGGTGAACGTAGGAGCTCACAACGCAGGGCAGGCTGTTGATTCCTTTCTGATCAGTTGAGATCAGTAAGTATCACATAACAAAGAATGTGAGAAGTCGGGTTAAACTCGCGGTAGGGACGAAACAAGTAAAGTCTGAAGGTGGAAAATTGGGGATGTCGAGTGTCATTGTGGAGAAAATAATTGATGCATGGAATCGCATAATAACTTCTTCCACAAAAGAATTATATGACGATTTCGTCATTCATTTTCAATAATTGTGTGAAAAGTATCTGACTTTGTTGAAATATGTTGAAAGCACAATTCTTGATCAGGTGAAGGGGAAGATATTTTGTGCGTGGAGTGATAATGTCTGACACCGTGGAAATACAACCACCAACAGAGTTGAGTTGGCCCATTCTACTTTAAAATTTTGGTTGGAAAACAGAAAAAGGGATTTATGTCGAGATTGGGACTCGGTGAACAACATGATTCAAAACCAACATAATAAGATACAAACAACATTTGATCGGAGCATCACAGTCTTAGAACACCGATTCAAAGACAACATTCTTTATTCTCATTTGGTCGGTAACATTTCTCGTGCAGGGTTGAACTATATTTTTCACAGGGCCAAACGAGCTGATGATGTAGGCTTCGATAGTGCAAAGTGTGGTTGCACTATTATGAAACCATATGGTCTCCTATGTGCTTGTGTTATTGCTAAAAAAGTGAAACTTGGTGAACCAATAAGAATGGGCGAGGTTTGCTTTCATTGAAGAGACTTATTTTTGATGATGATGGATGCGTGGATGAAGGTAAATTGAATGGGAAGCGATACAAGAGAGATTTTTGAAGGCCGATGACAACATGAAACTCCACATCAAAGAACAATTGAGGAAAACTTCCTATCCCATAACCACTGACATGAAACCCCTTGCCAAACGGTAAAAACAAAAGGTGCTCTGAAGAAAATGAAGCATACACCAAATGACAACTCGACTACATGGTCTCCTTCATACTTTGAACATGTTGACAAAGTATTTCCCGACTCATCGACTCCAAAATCTCAAAAAATTATTGCGAAAGGAGCTCGAATTAGCAAACCACCTCCGACGTCGCTTCCACCGAAGATTTCATTCATTGATGAGATGCCGGCTTTTATGCACAAATATATCGATCGTATCGTCAATGTTACAAGAGACAATAATTGCGGTTACTGAGCTGTTTCGGATTTACTTGGTAAGAGAGAAGATAGTCATGCGCTAGTCTGTCATCAACTTATCCAATAGTTGAAGATGCATAAGAAATCATACACGTGATTGTACGGGAAAAATAGAAAAATTCGATATGGTTTATGAGTCTCTTGTTCCTTGCTTGAGCATTCCGGCACCAGAGTCAAAATGGATGAGCTTCTCGAATATGGGTCACCTAATTGCATGTGCATATGATAGATGTACATCGTGTAACACCTCCTTCTATACCCCCAAATAAACAATTAAATCACATAAGCACATAATAAATTTCATCAGAGTAATTAAAATATGGTATAAAAGAAGTATGCCACATCATTCACCAAAATAACATACAACACCTGCTCTATAAAAGACATGCAACGATGGGGTAGTTCAACAGAGGAACTTAGTCCTACACCCACATCTCAATATTTAGAATTTAAAGCGGAAGATTAAGACAATGAATTACTTAAGACATGTTATCACTTAGATACATAATTCAGTTTGTCCACAATATCATTCATGTTTACAAAACATTATCAACAGATACATATACAAATGTATCCCAAAAGAATACTATACAAGCCTAACTATCCGGTGCTACATATCAGAGCATAACCGACCAAAAGGATGAAGTTAA